AAACTATGAGAAAGCAATGTACAAGTTTCCACTTGCACACTTAAAAACTATGAGGAAGCAATGTGCAAGTTTCTACTTACACACTTTTTTTATGAATAGAATATTATTAAAGATAGATTGGTGTTGTATTTGGCTTGATATCTCAAAATTTGCGAAATCTAGAGCAATCAGATTTTTTTATACAGAAATCGGTAACCTCTTTATTATTAGCAATTTTTATTAATTATATTATATTTTTCAATTTTTTCTACCCCTATTTCATATATAATTCTTTAAAATTTAATTAATCAGTTCTTGAGTTATAGAAATTTTAGTAAACTTGGCTGTTTTTTTTTTAACAGAAATTGGTAACTAATCAACTAAATCCAGAACTAATCTTAACAAATTATATATGAAATAGAAGTAAAAAAGACTAAAGAATATAATAGAATTAATAAAAATTGTTAATAATAAAGAAGTTACCAATTTCTGTTGAAAAAATACAGCCAAGTTTACTGAAATTTCTATAACTCAAGAACTGATTAATTAAATTTTAAAGAATTATATATGAAACAGGGGTAGAAAAAACTGAAAAATATAATAAAATTAAAAATAGATCGATATCTCAAATATTGAGAAAGCTGTAGCGTAAAATACGCTTTTCTGAAAAATGAAAATCCCCTTAAAATCCATACCGGTCGACGGATTTTAATAAAATTGGAGAAAAACATACTTTCTATGATAGGGTCGGTGCACCGTTTGTGGCCACTGCTCCATTTGTGGCCACTTCGACGAATTTTTCGAATTATTTAGTTAATGATTCATGTTCGCGCTACGTAAATTGAAAGATTTTGTTTTTACGGTATTTGTGTTGGTCAAGCTATCCGCCGATGCAGAGAACAGAACTTGTTTTATAACAAAATTACGTTTTATAACCGAACTGTGTGAATCGTTGCATTTTCTTGTAGAAAACGTTAAGGATACGTGGTAAGTTAAATGTTATAATAATTGTATAAAAGACATAATTGTGAGTAATGTTTGTGTAATTGACTTGCGGAAAGTCTAAAAATTAACCTCAAAATGCATAACCACGTATTTGACTTCTATTTATTAAAAAAATAATGGGTGTCGAAAACTAGATCATGTATTAATATAATTCTCCATTTTTGGCCATGGGGTGGCCAGAACTGGTTATTGCAGTGTTTCAGTTGTGGCCAGATAATCATCCAGTATCGTTATTATTCGCGTAGGTATACCTAATGCCTATACGACGTACGTATAAGTATTTGAAATACTTATACACCGATGTTATTAACCGAGGTTGTTGTGTATCATGTCTGGAGGACAAATTAGGTATAAAAGTTAAATATGCCTGAATATGCCACATATTATATTTTTATCATTTATAATTTGCAACTAAAATGTCCATGAAGCGCATGAGAATTGTTTAAACAATGATTTAACTAATAATGTTCAGAAATTTGTACAACGCAAATATCAGTAATCTCAAACAGCAGAGAAGAAACTTTGAAAAACATTTTACACTGTAAAAAAAAATTGTAAAATTACAGGTAATTTTAAGACCTACTATAATAGGTCCTCTTCAATTGAATTGAATTGAAGAGAAATATCATCAAGCCGTGATTGAGATAAAACAATCTTTACAAGCTGCAAATTTTGTGTGCACCACGGCGGACGTTTGGTCATCATAAAAACGTAGCTATTTAGACATGACAGTTCATTGGATCGACAATAATACATTGAAAAGGAACGGCGCTGCCATTGCCTGCAGAAGATTCAAAAGAGCACATACTTTTGATAAAGTAGCCGAAATAATAAGTGAGGTGCATTCTGAATTTGATTTAAAATTATCCAAAATTACGAAAACAATCACCGACAATGGTTCAAACATGGTAAAAGCGTTTAAAGTATTTCAAAGATCCGAGGAATCCGAGCCTATCGTCACATTAGATTGTCAACAAACCAATGATTATGATGTTAATGTAATCAACGATGATGAAGATAGCGAAGGTGAAATTGATGGAGACAATGATTTACTTCCACAAGTTTTTCCAGAATCGATCGAAGACTGCACAAATGATTATGAACTGCCTAGTCACGAAAGATGTGCTACACATACGTTACATTTAATTGCAGCGATAGATACTAAACAAGCAATGGCAAAAAGCAATACTTATAAGAAAGCTCACAATTCGGCTTTCGGGAAATGTCAAGCACTCTGGAATTTATGCACAAGATCACCAAAAGCTTGTGAAACTTATTTAGATACAACAGGAAAGGCTTATGCCCGACAAGATGGAATTCTTATTTTAACTGCGTGAACGACCTTTTAATTGTAAAGGAACATTTGAACGAAGCATTAAAAAATTTGAAACTTACGCTGTTTAAGGAAACAGATCTACAATTTTTAAGCGAATATATCAAGTGTTTGAAGCCGATAACCGAAGCCATACTAAGTTTACAAGGAGAAAAAGATACATATTATGGAATGTTGTTGCCTGAATTAATGAGGATTATCAAAATTCTTTCACATCTAAAAATGGAAAATCTTAAATATTGCGGACATTTAGTTGAAATCATCGATAAAAATTTAAAACGGCGGTTCAAACAATTTGTATTATTTGAAACAACGGCAAACGATGCCATCTTGGCATCAGTAGCTCATCCTTTCTTTAAAATGAAATGGGTTCCAAAAGAAAAAAAGGAATATGTCAAAACATTATTTATAATGGAAATAAAAAAATTACATCAACATGGTAATAAGGAAAATAATAATACAGAAGAAAAGAAAAAAGACAAATATTTCATGTTTCAAAATGATTCATCAGATTCATCCACAGGCGAGACAACAGGAGATTTAGAGGCTCTTCAATATTTACAAGATACAGACACATCACTTTCAATGTTACAATTATATCCAACAGTCAAAAGAATATTTGTGAAATATAATACATGTCTTCCGAGTTCCAGCGCCAGTAGAACGCCTTTTCTCTACGGCGGATTAATTATGAGACCCCACAGAAGAAAAATGGGAGATTCTCTGTTTGAAAAACTTGTGCTTCTGAAAGCACATTCCAATTTTAAGAAGAATGTCATTTTGCAAGTATAAATTAAAAAAGAATATAAAAATATATATATTATAATTATTATAAATATCAATATAAATATATTTTACAAAAGAAAATATTAACCCTCAATTAGCACACATGTGCTAATTCGCACCACTTTTTTTTCGTTCAGCACTTTATATATTTTAATTTTTCATATAAAAATTATTTCTTTTTCGTAAAATAGAGTGCACTACTCGATTGCCAGAACAATTTTACATAAATTTTTATTAAAAATAACTGAGATACAACAGTTGAAAGTTATCAAAATCTTAAATCGCACTAGTGTGGCATTTGGCATTTGAGGTGGCCCAACCGAGGTGTGCTAATTGAGGGTTAATAATAAAAGAAATATTAATATTATTACAAAAATAAATACATTATATTATTTATATTATATTATTATTCAACAAAGAAATATATTATATCATATTATTGTGCTGATTGTGCAACATAAAAACTTTATTTAGTCCATTGATCAGTTGAATATATAAAGAGAGTGAGACCTATTTTTATTTTAAAAAAGCATTTTTAAAATACCTATTTTCCATTTCCTATTTTAAATAGATGTCTAAAATTATTTTATATTATATATTTTCAAATAGGAATGTTCGAACTATTTTATATTTTCTATTTCAAATAGGTTTAGACACCTATTTTGCACATCTCTGAATAGGTGTAAATTTCCACACATTTTTAATTTGTGTAATTGTAATACAAAATTACTTTTTTCTTCCGTACTGTAATTTTGTAAAAATACAACCATTATATTGTATAGTTAGTTTGAGCTTCTTTATTACCCCAAAGGGGTCCAAAAGGGCGTTTTGGAGGGACGTACCCAACCCTGTACATATGTCCCTGCCATGGGCTCATCGGCGTTTTCTCAGGGACGTACCCAACCCTTTACAATCAACATGCCATTATCAAAAATAAAAAATAAAAATAAACTCTAACAAAAAAGAAAAATATCGGCGTTTTTTCGGGACGTACCCAACCCTGTACATTTTAGTATGTAAACTTTCAAACAAAAATATAGAAACATCATCAGTCTTGCTGTGACTCGCTATCTGGTGAGCCAGGAGCCAGGGGCCGTAACACGTGACGCAGTCCCTCTGCGCGTGATCCATCCGAATCCTAGCCGCCCGTTTTGCGTGTCGCTCCACGGTGCCTCCGCTTCCTCCGTGCGCATGCCACCGCCGCGGACATTATTTTCCGTTAATGTCAGCGGCGCGCCGCCGCCGCGGCAACGCACTTGAAAGATGTTCTCACATACTGCGGATACTCGAATATGCACATCCTCTCGCATGTATTCTCCTCAACGTCGGTGATATATCTCACAACTCCGAGAAGAGTGAGCATGATAAAATCTTATCTCTCTCGCACCATTGAGAACGTGTTGCCTTTGGATCGTACTTGTTCATGAGATCCAGCATTGCCTGGTGTAAACCGGTATACCAGAAGAGTGCATTCTTCTTATCGCCGTCGCCGCCACAGCACGCTTTCGCCTATGCCCGGGCCATGGTGACCGCGCCTCCTCTACCGGGCGGCTCTTCGCTCCTCGGCCCCCCGCTACCCGCTCCCGTATTCCCCTGATCTCCTCTTCCTTCTTACTCAGCCTTTGTTTTTTCTTTTTCCTCTTCCGTCTCCATTAGTAGGCTCTTCTCTAGCTCGCTTGCTATCTCATCCTCTTCTGATTCTTTTGTTCTTCCATCATCTTCTCCCCTCCTCTCCTTTCTCCTCTTCTTCTCTTCTCCCTCTCTAATTCTTCTTTCCACAGATTTGTCTTCATCCATTTTGACCTTTAGTCTACTCCCTGCCCTCCTCCTTGCCTCTAATACTCTCCATTTCTCCTCTTCACTTCCCAGCCTCACCAGCATCGTGAGCCATTCTCCTCTCAGCCCTATTACGCTCACTTCCTTCATTTCTACTCTTAACTTCAGTTCCTCCGAGAGCAGTTGCCTCACTTTCTCCCAGTTCGTTCCCTTTCCCATCCATCTGTTCCTCTCTACCCTTATTATTATGTTTTTTCTCCTTCTCTCATCTTCATTCCTCTCATCGTCGTCGGACCACCATTTCATTTCTTCTTGCCTGCCCCTGTTCTCTGCGCTTTCGTCCCTCTTCCTTTTACCCGCGCCCATTTCTAGCCTACGTATTTTTCTTTTCAGGTTCTCTATCTCCTCTCTCTGGTCCTTTACTTCCTCTTTTAGTGCTCTCAGTGTTTCCTTTGCTTGATCCCTTATCATTTTCTCCAGCATCTCTCTCTCTACCGTCACCTTCGCTCTGAATTCCATTCCTTCCTTTTGTCCTGTGCTCCCCTTTTCTTTGACCTTATCTGAAATTAAAAATTTTCTTAGCCATCTATTTCTCAACCTCTTTTTCCTTCCTCCCCTCCCCCACTCCTCATCTCTTCTATCGCTTTCATCCATTTCTCCCCCTCTCCCTTTTCACTCATTATCTTCTCCACCACGTCTTGCCAACTCTCTCCCTCCCAATCTTCCCATCTCGAGCACTCTTCCCAGACATGTTCCCACGTCTCCTCCTTCTTCTCACATATCCTGCATTTTTTGTCTTCCTCTTTTCCCCAGTATAGTCCCTCCCTAATCTCGTTGCCCAATCTGAACCTTGCGATTCTGTTCCATCTTGCCTCCTCCCAGCCCTTCTTTAGATATTCCGGAATCCCATCCTTCCTTATTCGTTTATACCACCTGTTGTATTTCGATTCCATAATCTTTCCCATTCTTTCTTGTCTTTGTTTTGCTTTCTCCTTGTGTTCAATTGCCTCCTCTGTCAGTCCCTCCTCCCCTCCCTTTTCTACCCCAATACCTTCCCAGTATTCCTTTCTCTCCTGCTCCCATCTTCCTATTATCCTTTCCTTCTTCCATCTTTCTTTCATTTCTTCCAAACATTTCTTTGCTATTTTTCCTCCTTTACCTTCTTCCAGTTTTCTTTCGAATTTCCATGCTCTCTTGCTCGCTCTGGCTCCCATTTTTTCCCTTTCTAGTTCGTCCCTGACCATGTACCCTGGGGTCCTCCAGTTTACACCGAGTGTCCATCTGAGGTATCTCTCGTGTATCCCTTCTACCTCCCTCCTTTCCTTCCACCCCCATATTTCAGCCCCGTATCCCATCACCGTCCATATCAGTGTATCATACAGCCAGATCCTTCTTTTACAGTCCTTTTTCCACATCCTTTTACCTATTCCCCACACTTCCCTCATCACCCTTGCTGCCTTCCTTCTTCTCTCTCTGATATGTGCCTCCTGCCTTCCATTCGCCATCAGCGTGTACCCCAGATATTTGAATTCTTTGACCTCTTCTAATTTCTTTCCCTTCCATCTCCAGTCATATTTCTTCTTCCTCCCTCCTTCTTTTCTAAATCTTATTATCTTCGTCTTCTCCGTACTCAGCGTTAGGCCTTTCCTGTCTAGGTATCCCTCAAGCCTGCTTATCATGGATCTCATGTCCTGTTCCTCCTCCGCTAGTACTGCTATGTCATCTGCGTACATTAGGGTGTATATCTTCTCCCCTTTTACACTCACACTCCCCCCATCCGCTCTTCCTTATGTGATCCTCTATGTCTGCAATTAGTAAGTTAAACAGTATCGGGCTTAACGGGCAGCCCTGTCTTAATCCCTTCGCCATCCAGAATGATTCCCCTTTTTCTTCTCCTCTTCTTACATTGCTTTTTGTTTCTCTCAGGACTTCCTCCACCCTATCTATCAGTCCTTGCCTTACTCCTCTCTCTTTCATTGCCTTAATTAGAACTTCCTTATCTACAGAGTCAAACGCCGCCTTGAGATCTACGAATAGAACTGTCATCTTCCCTTTTTCCTTTCCTAGATGTCTGTTTATCAAATAGTTTAGCGTAAATATCTGGTCCATCGTCCCCATTCCTTTTCTAAATCCTGCTTGGTTATCGGGAATCAAGTTCTTCATTTCTACTTCATTCCTTATCCTTTCTGCTAATACCGCCGTGTATATCTTGTACATTGAGGGCATAATCGTTATCCCTCTGTAGTCTTTTACCTCTTTTCCTTCTCCTTTCTTCACTAAAGGTATTATCTCACCCTCCTTCCACTGTTCGGGCCAGCCTTCTCCCCTCCATACTCGTTTACATATTTCCCAGGCCCACCTCACCATCTCTTCTCCTCCATATTTCCATACTTCATTTGGGATTCCGTCCTTACCTATTGCCTTTCCTGTTTTTAGATTCTTTATTACATTTCTCACCTCCTCTAACTCTATCTCTTCCTCGTCTTGTCTGTCCCTCCCTCCTTCTCCTTTCACTACCCTGTTCTCCACGCCTCCCATTAGCTCCATAAAGTATTTTTTCCACTCTTCCAGCCCTATGTCTTCGTTTATCCTTTTCCTTCTTTTCCTTACTCTACCTATCAATTCCCATACCTTACTTTCCGATCTCGCTTCTCCTATCTCTGTAATCATCCTTTCCTTCTCTTCCTTTTTCTTTCTTTCACATACTTCTCTGTATTTCCTTCTCCTTTCTCTATATCTTTCTACCTCCCCTTTCCCCTTTCTCCACTTTCTTAGTTCTGCCCTCGCTTCTTTCTTTTTCTCCTTGCATTCTTCATCCCACCATCCTCTTCTGTTCTTATTGGCACCCCTGACCTCCCCCTTTTCATTCTCCTTTAGTATTCCTCTTATCTTTGACACCCCTACCTCTATCTCCTCCTGCAATTTTCTGTTTCCTCCTATCTTTCCTATCTTCTCAACGAAGTGTTTTCTTCCTTCTTCGCTCCATATTCCTCTTCTTCTTGTCCTTTCTATCTTTTCCCCTCTCTGTGTTCTCTTCGCTCCGCCACTTATCCACAGTATTAGCGGGTGATGGTCTGATTCTACTCTATCCCCTATTTCTAGTTTTTCTATTTTTTCTCTGCTATCCTCATCACCTATAATATAGTCTATAACTGTTTCACCCTTTCCTCCCGTGTATGTGTATTCTCCTTCTTCGTCTCCCTTCGTGCCACCATTTAAAATCATCAATCCTCTTTCTTCTATGAATTCTAGTAGCGTCCTACCATCCTTGTTCACCTTCTTATCTTTAGAATGTTTCCCTTTTCCTTTCTCACTTTCTTCATCTTCCTCTTCCCTTCCTCCCTCCTCTCCCGTTCTCGCATTAAAATCACCTCCTATTATGGTCCTTACTCCTATTTTTCCCTCCTCTATGCAATCATTCAACCCTTCTAACTTCTTATCAATGTCTTTGTTTACATATATTCCTATTATTTTCCATATTTCCTCCCCTATTCTTAGCTTGACTTCAACCCTGTTTTCCTCTTCTTCCTTCCCTCTACCCTCCTTTATTTCTTCTATCCCTTTTCTTATACCTACTAGCATTCCTCCGCATGCTCTACCTTTCTTATTCCTCCTATTCGCTATTTGTACTCTCCAGCCAAATTCCTTTGGTAGTTTCTCTTTCATCTTCTCCCATCCTTTCTTATCCATCCATGTCTCCATCATAATAATCACATCCCATTTCTTTACCCCATCCCAAAAGTCTCTATCTTTATTTATTATTCCCGCTACATTCCAGAATACCACCTTCGTCTCTTCCCTCCCCCCTCTTTCTTCCTCCCCTTTCTTTATATCTACGTCTTCCTCAACTCTGGATTTGCATCCTGCCGCTCTCCCTCCCTCCTCCCATTTATTTTCCCCATCCTCCTCGCATTCTTTGTTTTCATTCTCTTCGTTGTGACCTATGAAAGTCTTCCCTCTCCTCCAGTCTGCCTTTGCTTTCGCTCCATCTCCATTCCTTGTTGTCCTCCCACATCTTTTGATAACCAATTGTCACTCTTTTTCCTTTCTCTCTCTTCTCTCTTGCTATCTTTCTTATCTCTGTTTGTATTTGTCTTTCCTGTTTGGTGAGATCGTCATCCAGAAAGCTTCCATATTTCCTTCCTAGTTCCTTCTTTTTCTTCATGACGTCTCTTTTAGCTTCCCAGTTTTTGCATTTCAAGAGTCTCATTTTGTATTCCCCGTTTCCTATTTCTTGTATTTCTTCTATGCTTCCTTCTGTATTGTTTAGTTCTTCCATCAACTTTTCGAAATTTTCTTTTCTTTCTTTAACGTTTCTTAACTTCTCCTCCTTTACGATTATGTTATTTTTTCTCTTTCTTCTTTCCGTCATCTCCACACTTTTTTCTATTTCCTTCATTTTTTCTATCATCTCCCTGCCTTCATTCTCCTCTGCGCCCTTCATCTCTAATTTTTCTATCTTCTTCTCCATCGTTTTTACCTTTTCTTCTAGTGCCTTTCTCTGCCTTTCCCATATTTCCTCCCTTCTCTTCCATTCCTCCCTTACTCCCTTTATTTCGTTTTTTATTTCTTCTTTGTCTTTTTTCCTCTCCTCCTCCTGTTCTTCCATTTTCCTCAGTATCTCTTTTAATAGATCCTCTGTCGCCATCTTTCCTTTACCCTCTTCTCCTTTTTTTATCTTCGCTGGCGGTGATCTGTTGGTCCTTCTCGTTTCATTAAATTTGTCGAGAATTTCTTTCTCTGCTGCCCTGGCCGCTTCTTCCTCTAACTCTTTTCTTTTCTTTTTCAAAATGAGATCTTTGACCGATCCTAGGCTGTCCGCCCTTCCTCTTTGTTTAGCAAGCTCCTCCGTTTTTGTAGGCCTGCCTCTTGCTTTCCTCTCCCCTTCGTCTTCCCTCTTCTTTCCTATCCTTCCGTGCTGGTCAATCTCTATTCCTAATTCCTTCTCTGCCTCCATCCGCCGCTTTTCCTTTAGCCTTTCCCTCCTATTGGTTATCTTTCCTATGCCTATGGTTGAAAGCACTTATAGCATTTATCCCCTCTATATCCGCGTTAGTCTATGCCCGCTTTCGACCCCGCCTTTCTGTCAGTCGCCCCTCTATACTATCTGTATTCTATGCCACCCGGTCACCTCTCACCCGTCCCTTTCCTTACCTTTTTCCTCTTAACTGCTTCCTCCCGTTCTTAACCCTTTCGCCTCCGCCCTCTCGCTCCTCCACGCCTCCCTGTTCCGCCGCTCTTGACCTCTCTAACTTTCTCCAATCCTTTTTCCACCTTGAAATTGCTCTCTGCCACACGCACACCTGTTGCTATCTACTCGCCGGAACCGGAAGTCCCATTATATTGTATAATTACAACTATTAGTGGGTCTCAAAATTACCCACTATAATAGTTGTAATTTTACAAAATTTTTTTACAGTGTAGTTTATCCTGAAGTAAAAAAGTCATCAAAAAAAAATATAAATAAAATACAATTACCTTCAATAATTACAAGTGATCGCTGGTTACAGTTAAAAAAAACAAAGAAAAGGATAAAAAGCGATTATTGTTAGAGCAAAGACAGAAAAAGAAAATAGAATTAGCGATAAAACGAAAAGAAAATTTAAGAATAAAAGCAGAAAAGGGAAATAAAGAAAAAGAAAAAATAAGAAGAGAAAGAAAGAAGGAAGGAAGAAATAATTGCTAAAAAATTAAAAACAGCTAACAAAACAAGTAAGTAAAAACTCTAATAGATTAGATGAATTATTTTAAACAATGTTAATTTTTTGATATTTTTATTTTACAATTTTTTTGATATTTTATTTTATTTTTTATTTTATTTTACAATTTTATTTGATCTTATTTTACAATTTTAATTTAAAAAATTTAAGTTACTATATATTGATGACGCATAAACCTTCATAAGATATATAAATAAATTTTTTAAATTTTTAATATTAGTTGATAGAAGTTTATGTATGATATGCTATATATATAATATTTTATTAAAAACAAATATTAACATAAAAATAAATCATAATTTTTATTATATATACCTATTTATTAATTGTTAATTTAGAAATTAACCTCAGTTTCATTATGTGGCCAAAACTAGTACTTATTGTGGCGAAACTGGTGTTTTGGTGGCCAAAAACGGTGAAATCGGAACTTATGATATAATTTTTATTTTTGAAATATTTATTTAAATTTATTTGTTTGCTGATCTTAAGTTTCTTATCTAAAAGATTCTTAAGAATATATTAAAGTAGTTAAAAGCGTTACATAACAAATAGAATTTAATTAAAACGTATTTATTTCGTTAAAAATCCTTAAAGTGGCCACAAACGATGCACTGACCCTACTCTATTTGTGTGCAAAACTTCAACCCGGTATCTAAAAAATTGTAGAAGTAGATGCGTGTACAAAAAATCCGTACACACACACACACACACACACACACACACGCACACAAACACGCACACGCACACGCACACGCACACGCACATACTTTCGGACATTTTCTACTAATATGATTTCTCGACATTTTAGAACATTCTAAATCTATTTTCTTTAAAATTTCGAAAAACATTTTTTTCACCATTACAAAGCTTCCTCTATGAGGAAGCAATTAGAGCAATCATGGAGATTTGTTAAGATAGAAATCGGTAACCCTTTTTGGAGACTTTATAGACTTTAGAGAGAAAATGGGACTATATAAGCTATCGTATGATACCTTATTTATTACTTTACGATTATTAGTTTGAAAATATAAACGTTCAAAGTGTGACATGTTTTCGTTGCATAACAAAAATTAGAGCAATCATGAAGATTTGTTAATATAGAAATCGGTAACCCCTTTTGGAAACTTTATAGACTTTAGAGAGAAAATGGGACTATATAAGCTATCAAATGACACCCTTATTTAATACTCTACGATTATTAGTTTCAAAGATATAAACGTTCAAAGTGTGATATGTTTTTGTTGCATCTGTGCCTGGATTTACCCCCTCTTACTGTCGACAAAGACGTAGTTCTACGTCAAAAATTGTCGAAATTATTGCAGTAGGTCAGAGTAAAATGTGAAAATTTCAACAGGAATGCCCCATATACTTTTCTATGTCAACTATTCTCTGCTTTAACAAAAAGACCGTTTAATATGTACTATTTCCACATACATATTAGTCATTCATGCCTTTCAAATACTTTCAGTACAAAAAATTACTGCTATATTTTTCAAACTTTTTTGTTAATATAATTTTTTAATAAAGAATCAGCTTTTGACGATTGTTCAGGATAGTGACCTCTATAATGTATGTCAAGGTCATAGGAGCTAGACTCCCTTTTGTATTTACCAAAAAATTTTTTTTAATTGATTTTGGATTTTATGTAGATATATATAGCCCTTTGAAAAATTTTGATTTAGTAAACGCTTTTAGTAAATTATTTTTACATGTGAACCGCATGTGATGATGTAACATAACATAATACAATATAAATGTTACAGAAAAATATTTTTATATGTATATAATAATCCAATGATACAATGTGATATAAGTATTACATAAAGGACAAACCAATTTTTCAATTTGCTCCTAATAATATAGATAAGAAACAGTTTTTAAATATATATATTTTTTGCACATAATTATTTATCTTAAGGTATTCCTTTCACGGAGGAGCGTATTTTGTAGGCGCTTAAGCAGGGCCTCAGCAAACTCTTCTATATTGCATTAAACTTATATAAAATTAAGTTATAATTGATTATTATGTTTAATTATTTTAAAAAGTGAAAATATTATGTGTATTTAGAAATTTTTCATTTTTCGGTAAATTTTACTATCAGAACAATATAGCAACGCTGCGCTTTTCAGGGCGCCGATTGTAAAATGTGAAGTTGATAACAAAAGTGTCAATGTAAGTGTCAATTTCATTAATCAAAAAATATTGTGACATTTTCTTTTTATCAAAGAGAGATTTTATAATAATAATGAGTGATAAGAAACATAAAGTGAGGAGTAATATGTGGGCAAAAATAAGGGACAATTTGTGAAAATAAAAGTTGATAATAAACCGTACGTGATGAACTGAAGTGTGACATGAGCGCACAGCTTGCAGCGCGCGTTGCCAAATAATTCCTTGAAAGTCGCCATTTAAAATATTTATCTATAAACCACATTTCAAGTCAACTTTTAACATAAATATTTTGTTTAAATATTCGGTGACTCTGTATTTTTATCGACACTATCGAAAGTATAGAGTTTAACGAATATGTAGCGCAGTTAATATTTAATATCTTAAGATATTTGATAAACAAATTATTACATTGAAATGTGGAAAATAGACATTTTCGATAACATATAAAATTCACATATAAAATATCGATTTTTCAAAGTCATAATTCTTCTTTATATGTCTAGTAATGTGGTTTAATTTTTTTCTGGCGTAAAGATATGCATTTTAACTTTCTCGTACCAAAAAATCAGTTAATTCTTAAGACTTTGGTGTCATGAAAAGAATACCTTAAAACATATTATATCAGATAAGACAAAATGGTAATAAAGAGTTCGTAAAAAAATAATGAGTTACTTTGGCCTTAATTAGTTTCAATTAATTGTCGAGAATAATAGGGGTACTCAAATAAGTTAGAGTTTAACGGTTTGACAGGTTATGTCGGGTTAAAGTCGGGTAAAAAGTTAATTTTTAAACTTTTAACCTAAAAATTATTGTGATAGGTTAATGAGTCACTTATGTATTTTGCATAACCTTAAAAAGTAGCGCGCCCAAAGTTTAAAAATTAACTTTTTACTCGACTTTAACTCGACAAAACCTGTCAAACCGTTAAACTCTAACTTATTCGAGTACCCCTAATGAGAGTTATAATCTAATATATGAGCGCAGATAAGATAATATACATAATATCCAACAAATCCAATAAAACTTTGAAAATTCAAGTTTAGTAGGGGAGATTAGAGACAAAAGTAACAGGAGATAAACATAAATAATAAACGTGATTATCTAAAACCTATCATTCCTGTACGAATCTATCTACTGTGGTATATCGTCTTTTGAATGCCCCTCCCACCTCAATAATAGCGCTTGAAACTGATTTCTGAATATTTTATTGGGAATTTGGTTTATTTTCTTATTTATTGTATATTATAAATTAATCACTATTCCTTCGAGTAGTTTGTTATATAAAAACAATATTTAAAAGTTAGTTTTTTTAAATAAAAATCAATGTTTGACCAATTCTGGCAGAAATGTAAATTAGGATAAAAATAACAGCCTGTTACTTTTATCCTGAAAGTAATGTTATTGGTATTGATTTTCATTCATTCATATATGTAGGGGAGACCGGGGCTATCTGTCTACGGGTGCTATGTGTCCACAGTACTGCTATCTTAAGTTTTAAGAGATATGTCTCTACCATTGTAACAAGTATTTGAAAAATGCCTTACGTAAGAGATTTAAATGTTGTTTGTTTTTTTTTGCGATGCCTCTCGCAGACGCTATATATGTTAAAAGAAAAGCGAAAACAATTATTCACATTTTTCGACGGTCAAAAAATTTGCTGTGCGACAGTAGTTTAACTTTAATTAAAGTAAGCAATTCATAATATTATCAATTAATATATAGTTATCAGGTGTGAGAAGCGTCAAATCTTAATTTCGCATAATCTAAAATTGGCAACATATTAAAGTCTGAAAAATATGGTTAGGGCTATCTGTCTTATTTTTGATGAGGCAATGTGTCCACACTTCAATGACGGATTGTTCTTTTATTAATAGATAATGCTGCGTAACTGCAAAAGAAAGACTTTTCTTAAGACGGATAAGGTAGACATATCGAATAAAATTATACTTGTTAGAGCGATTAAAAGAATAAAAATCGAGCGAAAATCTTTTCGTAAAAACAGCGTTAAACTTTGCAATAAATGTTTGGGCTCTCACTCGCTACTGTAAAAAAGTGACCTACGAGCAGTTACTTGATCCCGCAATTCAAGAATCGTCACTAAATTTTTATTTTAAAAATACACGTCAAGTTAAATATGAGTTTGTCTTAAATTATTGAGTATTTACTATTTCAAACGCTGCTGAGGATAAAGTGAAGGCCCCAAATATAAAAAAAAATTAGGGGAGCAAATTAGAGCGCCAAACTCGTAATCTGAGGAACCAGGTTCGAGTCTACTAGAGCCATAAAGGATGGAATGTTTTTCCGATAGCTGCGCCCCTCTGTGCAAGATAGGCTCTTGTGCGGAG